AATGGGGCTGGGGTTGGCAAAGTCACAACTGCAGGAGAGTGGTGGGTGGCACAGGCCCCCAGAGGGTGCTACAAGGGACTAGTTCCCAGCTCTTAGGCTGTCTTAGGCTGAGCTGGAAGACTCTCAGAGCGACGGGCAGGGGTGCTCTAGGGAAATCATATTTTGGATACTTCATGAAACTATGACTTTATTTTAAAGGCCTGCTCACTGGCCACATTTACCTTACAACACTGAGCCCCCCTAACTTGTTTTTAGGGAACTACTTCTCCTTCCCTCCTTTCTAGCCCCATTGGCCGAATGGTAGAGCCTCTTATTTGATTCCACCTCTCAGGGCACAGTGATTAGTTGAAGGAATGGCCAACTGGAATATTTCCCTGAGCTTTTTCAAACTAGACTGGTGGAGAAGCCCCTTCTAGCTGAGGGACTAATGACAACAATCAGTAACACTCCTTGGTTACACTGTCTGTGTGTTAGGCACTGTTCTCAGTGCTTTACATAAATTAATTCACACAATCCTCATAACCACCCTGTGACGCAAGTCCTAACATCACCTTGTTTTACAGATGAGGAAGGTGAAATACAGAGAAGTTAAATAACCTGCCCAAAGTTACACTGTCAGAAAGTCCCAGAGTCAGGATCCAAAATCAGCCTGTGTGGCTCCAGGGTGCTTTTTACTGCTTTGTCTTACTATCCCAAGCCTTGAGCTTGGAAGCTGCTGGTAGTCATGCCTTGCACAGAATGGAGAAGTACAAGACAATGACTTACAAGAGAATGGAGCTGACCGCAGAGAGAAACTGAATTGAGAAGCAGAAATTTTCAGGAGAAGGACAAGCAACTCACATCACAGATTTGGAGATAAATCAGGAATTGGCACTCTGGCAGAGCTAACACTGCAACCTACATAATCTATTTCCAATTGACCTCAAGACAGAACCAAAAATGTCCCAAGTCAGAATCCTTAATAAAAAGGGACAAAGGTTACCTGGAGTTTCCCATGGTATCCTCACCAGAGATTGAGGATTTGAGGGCTGCAAACCCTCTCACACCCTGTGCAGCTGTCCTTGACAACAGAAGGTAGGTGGGAACCTTGGGACCAGAAACTTCAATAGTGTAGAACCCTGGAGTTTTAAATCCTGAGTCTCACAGTTCACCTGTGAATTATCACCCGAGCCTTAACTCACAGAATCTGAGAATCGTAGAGGTGAACACTCAGCACTGGTCTCCAGTCCAGATCCTGTCCTGAGGAAGGGCCCCCAAAGCTGCTCCAAGAATCCAGTCACCAAATTCGAAACTGCCTGCCTGGAGGCATCTGACAGCTCCTGGAGCTCAGGGCTCAAACTGACAGCAGGAATTCTGTTGATGGCAGTCCCAGGAAGCCCCAGCCTCTTTGGCTGGGCCCCTCCATTCTCAGAGGGGCCCCTCCTTCCCACAGCAACGCTGCTACTTAATCACTCTCTCAAAAGCAATCTGCCTGCTACACTTTCCCCTTTGCTCCCGGTGCTGCCTCCTACAGGAGCAGTCTTGAGTGTGGCAGGTTACTGGTATGGCTAAGAAGGGGCCCTGTTTGTAGTGCCAGCAGTTGGTGGTCCCCACTGTAAGATGTATGGGCACCATTTCTCTTTCCTAACACTTCCTGGCTACCCAATTCTAGTGCCTGGAATCCTACCATTGGCTACCAAACCTTTCAGAATCTCCTCTGCTCCCTAGTTCCCTAGTTACCTCATACGAAGGCTAAGAAGGAAGTGAACTCACATTTACCGAACACCAAATATGCCCCAGTGGCTGTCTGTTAGGTCTTTAACCAATGGGACTTCATTAGGTCTTCCCACCACTCAGTGAGTAGCTATGATTTTATAGGTGAGTAAACTTAAGTAGGCACAGACCAAGTAATTGAATCAAGGCCATAGAGCTAGTAACTGGCAGCCTAAGGGCTGGGCACCCTCCAACCTCTTCACCCTTTGGCCAGGCTGTGGGAGACCAGACAGCATGGTGGATGAGGGGTGAGGGTAGGGAAGTCACAGCTGGGAGAATGGAGACCTGGTCTTGTGCCTCAGGTATGAGACTTTGTGGGGACAACTAGGAGTATTCTCTGTATATTTGTGTCCAGCAAGTTCCACCTGAAGTATAAAGGCACATGTGTTCAGGCCCTCCTATATACTCCCTCACCCAGGCCCAAGGAGGGATGCAGAGGCCTCTACTTGGCCAGTCTCCCTTCCCCCTCCCATCATTAGTGATTCTGAGTGTTACCTCCCAGTCTGTCTATTCACCACTTAGCAGTTCTTCCTCCTTAGCTTCTTTCCCCTTACCACCCTGCATTCTCCTAATCCACATCCCAGCATCCACCCTAGATCATCATGCCAGCCTCCCCTCTGGTCTCCCTACCTCCCTCCACACTGTGACATCAGCAGCATGCACACATTTGAAACTCAGAAGGTTCCTGGTGCCTACAGGACAGAGCAGAACCCGATTCTCACAGTCAGGGCAAGCTTTGGGCAAGAAATTCATCTGGACATAGCCATTGTTCCCTATCCCAACCAGGAGATCTCACCGTCCTTGGAAATTATTCCCTCATGTCCTCATCAAAACTGAAGCACACTCTAAGACCCTGTCCTCTGTCCATGTGTACTGGGGAGACAGAAAAGGGTGACATGGACTCAGTGTTGAAATGGTCTGTCCCTCAACAAATCCTTTCTCCCTGGGGTAGCAGGGTTACCTTTTTTTTTTTCTTTTAAGTTTATTTATTTTGAGAGAGAGAGAGAGAGAGAGCGAGCAAGCGAGGGAGGGGCAGAAAGAGAGGAAGAGAGAGAGAATCCCAACCCGGTTCTGCACTGTCAGCATGGAGCAGGATCATCTTTAAATATATAAATCCTCTCCCTGATGCCCTCTAGTGGCTTCCCAACACACAATGAAATCCAAACTCCTTGCCTTGTTCTGGAGCAGCCTGACTCCTGGATCCCATCAGACACTGATCCTCAAGGACTCCCTTTCTGCTCCCCAGACACAAATCACACTTTGACATGAGCTACCCACACTGCTGGGAATGCTCTGGAAATGATATATTTTATTGTCCATCACATGGCCCTATTTTAAGCTTTATACAACATTGTTTATTTGCTTATTTATTTGGTTACTTGTCTTTTCCACTAGAACATGGTCTCCTGGGATCAGGGAGTTGTGTCTCTGTAGTAATGCCATATCCACAGCACCTAGTACAATGCCCAGAGCATGGTACATGCTCAAAGTTGTTTGTTAAATGAGAATGAGAGAACTGAATGAGAACCATGAGAAGGAAGCATAGAAGCTGAAAGCCTCTGAGTCTGACTCAAGATTGGGGTCAGAAAGGCTCTCTAAAAGAGGTCACCCTAAGTTGAGTCCTAATGGGCTGAATGTCAGGAGCGGAGGATGGCATTCCAGGCAGAGGCAACCCGGAGAAGCCTGGAACAGTGCAGTCAGTGTTGCTGGACCAGAGTGAGCAATCGGGAGTTACGGGCCTAGGCAGGTCACCACCTCTCTCAAGAGCCTTGAACTTTAACCTCTAAGTGATAGAGAGCCATGGGAGTTTAGAAAAATGACATGGTGTCTGTGCTTTAGAAAAGTTCAGTCTGAAGGGTGCATGGAAAGAAGACTGGAGGAACTGGGAAAGTCAGGGGATGTTGCAATAGTCCAAAGGGGAATGAATAGCTTTGAGAGACACCAGAGAGAAAATCAACAGGACTTGGAGACTGGGGTGGAGATGAGGGAGGGAGGTGAAAGGGATGACTTCCAGGTTCCGGGCTTGGGCAACTGGGTGGATGACTATGCCATTCACTGAGATGGGAAGAGGAACAGGTTTAGGGGTGAAGATGTGAAGTGTGATTTGGGGCTTGCAGAGTTTGAGGTTCTCATAGGACAGTCAGATGGAGGCGCTGGGATGGCAGCTGGATTGCTCTTCTCCAGGGAGTAGGAGGGTGAACTTTAAGTATGCAAAGGGAAGAAATTGGGGGGAGGGGGTGTCAAAGCTCAGAAAAGAGAGCAGGACTGTCCCCTCTCCTCTTTCTTAAGGGAACACATCTGGAGACACGAACTCATCCAGGAGGTGGGGACAGCTAGGTAAGTGGAGGTGGCACACAGGAAACAATGACACATCCCCGAAGGGCTGACCTTGGAGGAGCTGTGGGGGCACCTAATTCCACCATGGACCAGCACTGGCACCCAAGATTTCCCCCGACACTGCTGCCCCCAGATAGGAACAACTCAGGGTGGGGGTGGATGCTGTGCCTGCTCTCACCTGTCGGGGCACACAGGGTGCCCACGGCTCCCCTCTCGCAACGCTCTGGAGGACCAGGTGTGTGAGCCGTACCGCTGAGGGGAGACTCGGCCGCCCAAACCTGACTCCCAGCCCGCCCGAGGGCCAGCCCACCTGAGCACCCTCGCAGGTGGCGCGCAGACTGCGGCACCGGAAGCGGGGCTCGGGTGCGGCCCGGGTGAGGGGTGGGGGCGCATCACTAGTCCCCCGGTTCAGCCCCAGCCCGGCTGGGGGCCACGACACGCGAGCAGCGGGCACGTGAGGGTGTGAGAGGCGCTGGGCTGCCCCTCCCTGGCCCTCCGGCCCTTACCCTGCGCCCAGCAGCCAGCGCGTTGCGGTCTCCAGTTGTACCCCCACAGCCGTCCCTCCCGTCGGCTGCCGCCCGCCGCCCCTCTGTCCAGGCGCGCCTCCCGCCGAGTCCCCGCCCCTGCCTACTACCTGCGGTCGTTCTTCCCGGAGGCCGCCCCCTTCCAGGCGGTCAGAAAGGCCATGGACGCGGGCCGGATTCGGACCGCGGTGCGGGCGGCCCCTCGTGGCGGCGTGGGCGGTAGCGGCAGCTCCAGCGGCAGCACCTGGACCCGGCGGGCGGGGCCGGACCGGCGGCTCCTCCCAGCCGCGGCCCAGCGCCTCCCAGCCCCGCAAGGACGTCGGTGTTCCCTGAGCGGACCTGGGGTCCCAGGGCAAGCCCACTCTCGTCCAGAGCCGTCGAGACCCATCGTTAGTCACAAGGAGAAACTGAGGCCCAGGGCTACATAGAGGGTCAGTGACAGCACTAGAACATAACATACACCAGACCTCTCCAATCCCAGTCTGAAGCCAGTCCACTGAACCGAGGGGCGATGATGTCACCAACGCCTTTCCCTTCTGCTTAAGTACAGAAGTCTGCATTGCCAGGGCTCTACGTGAATGGGGTGGGGGGCGGGTTGGGACTGTAGGAGTGGCAGGTAGGGGAGCAGGGAGGTAGGTAGGAGCTGCCTGGCCTGGGAGTGGAGGCTGCTGGCAAGCAAGGCACTGGGACAGGAGGCTGTGCACAGACTTCTGCTTCCCAGAGCCCCCGTGGGAGGTGTGGGAAAGAGAAGGAGCCACAGCCTGTCTCCAGTACAAACTTTCTTTGAAACCGCGTATTTTGTCTTTGGTGATGCGCATTTAAAATTTTCACTTTATTTTTTAAAGTAAGCTCTACACCCAAAGCGGGGCTTGAACTCATCGCTCTGGGATCAAAAGTGGTATGCTATACTGCGCCAGCGAGGGGCCTGCAAAATTTTCCCTTTATCCAGTAGATGAATCTGCTCTGGAGCAAGGTGAGCCCCTGACAGTGCAGTCCAGCAGGCTTCCACAGGAGACTCAGCTAAGGACTAGGAGCAGGGTGTCTTGAGGAGGATCACTATAAGTCCAGCATGAAGGATGGATTCAAAGGTCCCTGGAGACTTTCCTGTGAGAGGATGGAGGTTGAAAACAGGATGGGGCAGGGTGGCTGAGGGACCATTTCTGTCTCCCTTTGGCTTGGGTTTGTATTGCAGGCACTTGTGCAACACAAATCATGTATCTACTAAATGGTGACTGATTCTGACAAGTCTGAGCCCTTCTCTAATGTGCCGAGCCCTTCTCTAATGTGCCAAGCCCTAAGCCAGGTGTTTTTACATAAGTTCTCATTTAATTTCATCTTATTAAATACTTACTCCCATTTTACAGTTGATTAAACTGGGGCTCAGAGGGGAAAATGGACTTCCCCGAAACTAAGCTGTGGAGCTAGGTCTTACATCCAGGTCTGTCTGCTTTATCTGCTGCTGGCCCCCCAACCCCACCTGTGGTTGCACGTGGGCTGGGCAATGGAGAGGGAAACCTGGGCAGAGGGCAGAAGCCTCAAGGATTATCAGGGCAGTTTCTCTCAATCTTCCTTGGTAGAAGAGAAAACACGACCTTTCCCCCTTTCTCTGAGAATTCATGTCATGGTCTTGGCAGATCAACAAGGGCCAGAGAATGCTGCCTATCTGACCACAAAGCTAGAGCTTCCGGATCTTGAAATTCCAGTTACATCCACCTAGAGGCCCAAATCCCTCAGCCCACAGGGCCTTGCCCAGTTTGGCAGCATTGGGAATTACAGATGGTCAACTTCCTTCTGGGCTCACAAGGATGAATATCACAAGGCCTCAAAAACCAGGCCTCCTATAATAGGCCCAGAACCCAGTCAACTTCCATTTAGAATTAAAGTCCCACCCAGCCTCTGTGCCCACAGGCAATATTACTTCCTCCAGGAAGCCCACCTGTATCTCCTCAGTGGAGGAACCTCTCCTTTTTGGAGGTTACATTTGTACCTGTCTCTTTCACAGCATTTAGCACTACGTATTTTTTAATCCTTATGTTAGTTATCAATGACCAGTTTTACTCTTCAGATTTCTAGCTGAAAATACAGAGAATATCTCACCTCTGTGTGCTGCATGGATGCTGGCACCACTGCTACACTAGTAGGTGCTCAGAGTAAATGAAGAAGGAACTAATATTTATAGTTTCTACCCTGTGGAAGGCACTATGCTGAGGGCCTTTACATACCCTACCTCTAACTCAGACAACTCTGTTTTGAGAATATTTGAGTCTGAAGTTAAGAAATGTTCCTGAGATCAAGTCAAGGAGCTAGGATTCAATCCCAGTGGTCTCAAACTTCAAGGCTTGTTTCCTGTTCTTCCTCTTCACCTTTTCCTTCCTCTTCCTCTTTGCCACCATCATCATCTTCTTCATCGTTGTCATCATCACCATCAGTTGTCTAGAACTATCTTAGGCATTATTCTAAACTTTTCAGATGTACCAGCTCATTTTATCCTCAGAACAACCCTATCAAGTATTTCCTTTTACAATCCCAATTTTTACAGTTGAGAAAATGAGGCAGAGTAATAAGTAATCTGCTCAAAGTCAAAAAGGCTAGTCAGGTGGCAGAGTGAGGATTTAACCCAAGCAGTCACCCTTGAGTCTATATCTTAACCCCCAGCCCCAGTCGGCCTGCCATACAAGCTCTTAGAATGCACTCGGCATTTGTGAATCACTTTCCCAAAGCTTATCTGATTTTGAATCTCATAACAACCCCAAGGTAGAGCAGGTTTTATTCTTTCTCTTGCTCTGGAGCCAGAATGCCTGAGTTAGAATTTTGGCTTCACCACTTGACAGCTGAGTATCGCTTCAGGAAAGTTACTTAACCTCTCTCTCTGCTTCAGTTTTCTCATCTGAAATGGGGACTGTGTAAAATGGGGATAAGAAAAGCACCTAGCACAAGGCTTGTTGTGAGGACTAAATGAGTTAATGCAAACAAAACAGAATAGTGCCAAACACGTAGTGTGTGTTATGTGCACCTCCTACTATGTAACAGTTTTATTCACAATCCATGAAGAATGAAGTGTTCCGTGTCAATAAACTGTTCAGTTATACTGAAGTTTATTCTCTTTAATTTAACCATGGTTACACATTTTTCCTAAACTGTATCATTACCTTTTCTGTCTTCCTAAATACAGACATGACAGCTGTTAGTGAATTATCTGCCATGTCAAAGGAATAAAGACTTCATATCCATCATCTTTAATCCTCACAGAAACTCACAGAAACTGTTATCTGAGAGGTTAAGAAGTATACCCACAGTCACACAGAAAATGATAAGGCCAGGAACTTTTTCAGAAAGCTGTGATGAATCAGGGTTTTCTTTGAGAACATCAGTTCCTGTTTAGGGCCCAGGTTTACTGTGTTTGATCTTTGTTACCACTTAGATCCAAAGGGCTGCCTTTAAGGCCAGGCATACAAAAGGCAGCCTGGTAGTGGAAAAGCAGGTCTCAGAATCAAGGCACCTGGGCTGGAACCTGGCTTGGTCTCTACGAGACTGGGTTGGGCTGGGGCAGGGAGGGTGGTCATTGCTAAGTTATTTCCATATCTCTATAAACTCAAGTTTTCTTTCTGTTAGAAGTGTTTTGAGGATTAAATAGGGTTATATATGTTAAGAGCCTTAGTGCTAGACTCAGAGAAGCTCCTCAATAACTATCAGCTACTTTTCCTTATTCCTTTTCCTTTCCACAAAATAACTCATTCCTCTCAAGTTGGGACTCCAGAGCAAACAGGAGAGGCTGAAACTAAGCCCTTACGTATTGGGCAGCTGAATACAGTCTATATATACTTACTGGGGTGGGGAAGAAAAACAGGTGGGGTCTTTCTGCAAAGACACACCTTCCCCTCCATGAGATAATCTGTATTATTAACCTGAATACATAACATTAGTACCTACTTACCTTTCTTATTTGAAGAGAGATGTTAAAAAATCAGTGATAAACATTTTATCTTGTGACCCAGTGCATATTCAACAACAAATTCTATTTCACTATTTTAAAAATGATGATCTTTAACATGCTGAAAAATTTACAAATGAAGTATAAGATTTGCTTCAAAATAACATGAGAGGAAAAAAATAACTTGAGAGGCAAGTGGACAGGAATATAGATAAAATTAGATTGGATATGAATTGGTAACTATTGAAAGTGATTATTGGTACTATACTATTCTTTACATTTTTTTTCCATGCTGCTTGATTCACTAAACTGATTTCACAACCCAACTAATGTATCACCTGTTGCTTGCAAAACACCAAGTTAGAGAGTATAAAATTAAGCACATTTCAAAAGGATCCCATTACTCCATAATCTGATTGCAGGTACCTTTATTTCCTTCAAGCAGCATTTTCTCAAGATTTGTTTAAGGGGGAAAAAACAGCTTACATGTTCAAGCCATTAGTGATCAAATACCAATCAGAAATTAAGGTTATGAAGAAAAAGCCTCCTAAGGGGTTAGGATTTTAACCTGAGTGTGATGGGAATCAGCGTCATGCTTTATTGTAGGAGTGGTAGGGGCAGATTTTGGATTTTGACTCTACAGGAATCTGACTGCAGCATAGAGGATGGTTTGGAAACAGAAAAGAGAACGACAGAGATTAGTGGCAAGGAGATTAGGTTTTGGCAAAGTCTACAAGAAAGATGATGAAGGTCTGAACTGGGGCAGTGGAGATCCAACTGCGGATGGAGAGGATAGATTTGAGAAATATATAAAAGGCAGAATGGTTAGGGCATGTTTATGGCTTGGAGGAGGATGGGTCAGGGAGAAGGCCTGGCATGTATACACGCAATAAATAATATAATCAATGAAAATGTGTAATCAAAGCCCCAGGGAGATGCTTCACTAAGAACTCAAATTGGGGAAAGTCAGCCTCAGGAGGAGTTAAGCTATAGAGTCCACATACAATGGATGAAAGCAAAGATATGCAAAGTCAACTCAAAGAGAGACTAGCTATAGCTACTCAACCAGCCAAACCAGACTGTAACCTGATTAAACATATTAATATAAAAAATGTGTTCATCAGATGGCCCAGGCAGCCCTGGCTGCAGAGAGAGAGGAGCTTCAGAGGCAGGAGGCATCTTGGCACCACCGGCAAGAGGGAAGTCTTGTTCAACCAATTGTGGGTGTTCTAAGCCCTGTGGCAACTTTTGCTGAAAACTGACATTCTGGTCTCTACAGTAGTCCCTGTGAACTTGCTTAATGGGAGCTCTGTTTTACTGATGAAAATCAAGTTTCTAAACTTGAAGGGCAGACCTTGGGCCACGCTGAATTCACTAATTAATAAATGCTGCTTAAGAGGTCTCCTGGGAGACTGCCAGGATTTCTCAGTCAACAGAGCCCTAACGTCAACAAGTACGGCCTTGTGAGAGCTATACTTTTTAAAAGTTTCTAGTCATTGTTTTTACCAATGCTAGAAGTAGAATACTTCCTCTGGGAAGACTTCCCCGATCATCTGGGCTAGAACTATTCTCTCCTTCCTCTGGGTGTCCCGGCATTCCTATTATAATCCTCAGTGTGTAATGTTGTGGAATTAATCAAGAGAAGATGTTTATCCCTCCTATTGTATCACCACTGATGGCAAGGCCCTCATAAGAGTCTTCTATGTCCCTAGCCCAGCACAGCACTTGGAACACAATACACCTTAGCAAAAGGTGAATGGAATGACTGATTTTCTCACTGTACGTTTCCAACACTCAGACATTTAGGGATTTCTGCCAGTAAGAGGTACACTATAGATCTATGCATCAGAAATGTCTTAATATAAGGTTTTTTCAGCAGAACAGAGTGATTGAGGATGGATTCTGGAGTCAGACTGCCTGGATTAGAATCCTAGCTTGGGCACTTTTTAGTTCTGGATCTTAGACAAGTTATTTAACCTTTTTGAACCTCGTCTTTAAACTAGAAATAACAGTACCGAACTTAAAGGACTGTTATGGAGAATAAAAGGAATCATTATATATAAAGTGCTTCAAATAGTACTGGCAAATAGTTAAGTGTTGTTAGCTTCCAATAATTTTTTTTAAATAACTCTATCCACAAAAAAGAATGGAAGTGCTTTACACTATAAAACAGAATCCATAAGTCAAGTATAGAATGACAAGGTGCAACAGCATGGCAAACTAAATTAGTAGATTTAACAAAACTTGCAGAATAGAGGCTTGGAAGTTAGCCTCTACTCCAGTGGTTCTTAGAGTTAGGTTCCCTGGGCCAGCAACTTTAACATCATCTGGGAACTTGTTAGAAATTCAAATTCTTGGGTCCAACTCTAGACCTACTGAAATCAGAAAAACTCAGATAGGGTTGCAATCTGTATTTTAATAAGCCCTCCAGGTGATCCTGGTGCTTGCAAAGTTTGTGAACCACTCCTTTCACTCAACATATACATCTAATCAGCCTTGAAGGCCTGCTAATTCTCCTAAATTAATTGGTCCCCATCTCTCAGGCCTCAGCCATAGCCACATTTTAGCTCCTTACCATCTCACCTGAATGATGCCAGCAACCTTCACCTGCTCTTCTTGCCTTGCCTGATTTCCCCGTAAAGCAATCCTCCAAGTCACCGCCAATAAGATCTTTCTTACATACAAACACAAATACTTCACTCTTTGCCCACAGACCTAAACTCTAGCCACAGTGAATTACTTTGATACCTGCTACTTGCTAGCACACTATACCATGTCCTACCCCTTTGTCTTTTTCTTTCTTTCTTGAGAGCGAGAGAGAGCGAAAGGGCAAGAGAGGTAAAGAGCATGTGCATGCCAGCAGGGGAGCAAGGCAGAGGGAGACAGGGAGAGAATGTTAAGCAGGCTCCATGCTCAGCGCAGAGCCTGACACTAGGCTCAATCCCACAACCCTGGGATCATGACCTGAGCCGAAATCAAGAGTTGGATTGAGCCACGCAGGTGCCCTCATTTTGTCTTTTATATGTAGTCATCGCCTCTGCCCAGAATGCCTCATCCCTTTGTGCAGCAAATTCTTCAAAAACTACTCTTTGCCTACCATTTTATGCATTTTTCAGAGCTTTGCAAGTACTGATAAATTACTTTTCATTGTTGCTACCTTTGTGATTTTAAAATTTGTATTTCTTTAATAAAAGCAACATTGACCATCTCCCCTATGTACTTATTTATCACTTATGGTAATATTAACAACTAACAATGGTTGAGTGCCTTCATGGGTCAGAAACTATTCTAAATCTTTGTAAGGATTAAGTATGAGAATGAGTTGGAAAATGTCTTTGAGATGCCATGCGCTATGTAGTAGGTCTATTTCATTAATCAAGAGCAGATATTACATGGATTATTCTATTTATGATATTTCTCCTCTGGCTTCTCACCTTTAAAAGAAATAGCAAGTAGTGGTTAAAACTCTGGTGCCAGATTCGTGAGTTCAAAAGTGGCCAACTCTGCCACTTACTAGGTACACAACCATGGCTTAGTGGGGCATCTCTTCTATACAATGGGGACAATAATTATTATGTTTACATTACAGAGTTACTGTTATTGTGAGGATTAAATGAACTAATATATGTAAAACACCAAGGATTCAGCCTGGAGATTAATATGTTATTTGTTATTATTTTATCATGTCCTGTTCTTGGTATTTCCTAGAAGCAAACTTTTTCACACAAAGACAAAGCATGGTAAACTGGAAAGGGTATCATGTTTTAGAATTAGAGAGACCAGAGTTCAAATCCTGGCAAATCTACTTGTTTTAATTTTTTTGAGCCTCAGTTTACCATTTCAAATAGAGGATGATAATAGTACTACTTAAGGCTGTTGTAAAATTAAACAAGAAAACACAGATAAAATGCTTAGTATAGTGCCTCACACTCAACATGTATTCAATAACCAATGGCTTTTTCTTTCCTTTTTTTTTTAAGATATAATCAGTTTATTATAAAAGAGACATGGAAATTATTTATATGATGAAAGATTCCAGAACTTCAGTGGAATGGGCAGCTTCATCTGAAAATCATTTCAATAATGACTTATTTCAGTCTACGTACTTTCCGAGAATGTCACCATCTTTAAATAAGAAGTAATCCTTATCATCTAGAACTGCTCTGGTGCCTCCATTATTCTGGAAGAAGAACTTTCTCTCCAACTTTTACAACTGTTGAAATCTCTCCACCTTTAGAGCACGATCCAATAGTTACTACTGTTGCCTGCAATACTTTTCTTTTAGATTTTTCTGGAAGCATGATGCCTCCCCTTTGGTTAGTTTCGGCTACACACCTTTCAACTAAAACTTGGTCAAAGAAGGGCACATGGATGGCTCAGTAGGTTAAGTGTCCAATTCTTGATTTTGGTTCCGGTCACGATCTTATGGTCATGAGGGTTGTGAGATCGAACCCCACGGCAGGCTCTGTGCTGGGTGTGGAGACTACTCAAGATTCTTTTTCCCTCTCCCTCTGTCCTCCCCCCACATGTGTGCTCTCGCGTGCTCTCTCTCTCTCTCTCTCTCTTAAAAACAAAACAAAAAAAAAAAACAAAAAAAAACCCCCAAAAACCTTGGTCAAAGAGGGAAAGAAACTTTCTAAATGCCTGTCCTGCCATACTCCACTCTCATACTGCCATCACAAGGAGACCAATAGCTACTTTCACTACCAATAATAACATGACTGACTTTAATTAAAGTAAGTAACATTAAAAAGCTGCCAAAGTGAAATCCTTCAGAAAAATTCTATGAGTCAAGTATTACAATATTCATTTAGATAACGAAAATGAGGCTCAGGGAGGCTAAGTAAGTTTCTCAAACATATCCTTCTCCAAACTGGCAGACTAGGGATTCAATCCCAGGACTGCATGAATTTTTTATGTCATGGTGCCCTCCTAGGGTCCAGGTCACAAATCCTCATTCAACAAATATACACAAAGCCATGTATGTTTCAGGCACTGTCCCTATGCATACACATTTCCTATCTTTCTTTCACAAAAACAGGACATGATAACTAAAAATAGTAGTTGATATTTATTGAGTATTTACTCTATACCAGGTACCGCGTCAAGCACTTTACACATATTAATCAGTGCTGACTGTATACCTACCCCTCCTTGGAAACAGCATGGACGTAACAGAGAACTGCAAAACTCCATTTCAAATAGGATATATGGATAGTATGCTTTATTATTACTTAAAGTTTATTGTTCTCATAATTACAGGCTACAGTTTGGAAGTTTGAAACATAAGAGAAAAGTCTATAGAGAGCCCAAATAAATTTGAACAAGTATGTGGAAGATGGCTAAAACTTTGTAAGTAGTGCCACTTAGCTCTCAGGAATACTTATCTGTCCTTTTAAAGCACAGGCTCTGCAGCCAGAGTCAACGACATAAAATGTAATCACAAATGACTCTAAGACATTCATTTTCTACAAGTGAGCATGGAGCGAGATATATATATATATATATATATATATATATATATATACACACACACATACATATGTATATAATATATATACATACTTTAATATTATATTGGCCCACTGAGTATACATATTTTAACAAAAGATAAGAATCTATGTAATCCAGTTAAACAAACATAAGGTTAGGGTACATTTATTACATCGAAAGTTGGTGTTTACAAGTTACAGATATTTAATATTTTCCAGAGTGGCTTTTTAATTAAAAAAAATATTTTAAAAGCATTTCAAACATCTGTTCATTTTCCCAGTGCAAAAGAAGGTTATTCAAGTCAACTTACCTTTTTCCTGAAGTTTAAGGGGAAGGAAAAAAAACCCCAAAACCACTACCTAACAACTCCCAACACTACCCTCTCAATCAACTTCTGTAGTATATCCTTAGGTCACTGGATTAGTTTATCAAAATTAAAGACTTACGATTATGAGTCAGCCCTTGCTTCATATGTATAACTTCTATGCTGAAATGTTTCAATTTATAAAAGTAGAAAAAAGCAGTGCAAGAATGTGGTTTAAGTTTGTTTTAAATTGTGTGTGGAGAGAAAAAAAAAGCACCATTTCAAGATAAAATGAATTGGATATTTTGGAATTTATTCATAGGCTAGGCAATAAGTTACTCTGATTAACACAGATCAATACCACCTTGACTTGGTGACCACAGAGATTTTTAGTTTGTAGGTGCATTTTTCATCTTGGTATTCAATACATTATCTAAGTCAATTACTGATGTTAAAAGAAAACTAAGGTTATTCTACAATTTACAGCCTACACCACAGTCTATTTCAAATTCAGCTTGTCTGCTAGGTCAGTTTTACAGGAGACAGGCTTTTAACACATGAAGAGCTTTGACAATTTGGTAGGTCTCTTCTCTCCCAATTAAAAAAAAGAGATTTTTTTTGCTAGCCTGCCAATTTTATAGGTTAATAAACAAACAAACAAACAAACAAACAAACAAACCCAGGAAGAGAATTAACTATTTTAAACCACAAAGATGGACAAAAAACAATAATATGATTTAATACATGTCACTTCTCATTTGTATTCAGTGGAAGTTTTTACAGTTCAAGTAAGTGAGCCTTCATTAAAGGAAACAAAAATATATGTATACAAAAATTTAAAGTACCTTCCAGTTCTAGCTTGCTAAAGTTTCTTCTGCAAAGTACAAAAATAAACCTACCATGAACTAAGGAGGACAGTGCCATACCAATGGCAGAATGGCTGCCATGTTAAAATTTTTGCTTACCTTATACTGATGAGGATACTTTAAGTGATACGGTTTTCTCCACTATCTAGTACTTAAAATTATGGAGAGGTAATCTGTTCATCTAAAATTCTTTAAATCCAGAGAAATTTTTTTAAAAGTATATTTCACACATGAGGCTTTAACATTTTTATTTAGGACAAGATTGAATCTGAAGCTGTAATGGTTCAATCTAAAGCATTCCTTTTTCAATAGTGGAGTCAATTTACGCAAAATATTTTTCCTTGTCTATAAAAAACAAATTGAACGGTATTAATTATAAGGAAATACAAACATATACTTTAAACTAGCCAATTTTCACTATCATAAAAGAAATAGGATGTTCTTTCCCTTCCCCTCCCTCAACCATTCAAATCAGAGAAGAGTACTGCAAACTTTAAGAACCCCACTGGCTATCATCAGAGTAACTACAGAACAAGGGTAGCACAGGGATGAAACTATTTCTGTATATTCCAGAAGGCAGAAGCTTGGGTACTCTAGCTTTACAAGTAAAAGCACAGGCAGGCAAAAGCTCACAGTAAATGCACACCAGAATAGGGGTGTAGGTGAAGTTGTCTGACTGGGTTACTGCTTTTATAGGTGGAAAGAAAAAAAAAAAGACAAATCTGAAATGGAGTAAGAAACAAAAACAAAAAACCAAAACAAACTTTTGTCACATTTACAGGAATTGCAAACCTTTTGTATTCCCATGCTCATAGGTAGTTTTCATACACACTGTAAAGAGCTTCAGTATTCAGGAAGAAGAATACTGTATGGTTGACAAAGGACAGGAGAATTCTTCATGCTTCTGATATCTCAGATTTGCTGAGTGCAATAGCCAGTTCTAAGTCTTCCTGCTCTTGCTGATTCAATCGGGCAAGCCTCTGCTCTTCCTCTCTCTCACTTTCCCTCTTGGCCCATTCGATCATATCTTCTTCAGAGGGATACTGCCATTTAAAAGACGGATAAACAAGTTAATGAGTAAAACAAACAAAAAGAAGGAAAACAGTTGTTACAAAGGACATTAAATACTTGTTTCACCTGCAAGGACTCTGGGAATAGTCTTATTTGCTACCTGTTAATTTTTTTTCCCTGAAAACACACTTAGTTTTACCAGTTATTAAATGTGGTTTAATCTTAAAAGTTATTACAGTCTACTGATAGAAAGTCTATAAAACTAAATATTAAAACACTTTTAAAAAGTAGAAATGCTTAAGGTAAATTAGGACATTTACAAACAGGTAGGCTAGCCTTTTAATGTAATGCAAAACACTAATTACTTCAACCTCAGGGAGCATCCTCACATGATCAATCATTTCAGCTTAATCCTACTGATAATTTCTTACCTTACCCTTGCTCTCATGTACAGAAAAACTATGTAGCAAGAATATGCTGATTTTGCTATACATAAAAAAAGCATACTGGGTATACTAAACAAGAAGTGGACCAAATTATTTTTTTAATGCATTGTAAAGATTTTTGCAGGCACTGAGAACTTTTTGACTCAGTCTAAATAAAACTATACACTTAACATTAATAAACCTTAAACCTTAACATCAGTCAGGGAAATATTTTTATCTACCCAAAACAGCAACACTGACAGATACAAAATAAAAAAGTTTTCCTTGGTTTGAAGTCTTGTCATACAAAGGAATACCATAACATGATGAAATTAAAGAAGGTCAGGCTTTTTGAAGATGGTAGCTTTTTCCCTAGTGAGTTAGAGGGAGTTTGAAACTTAACAATACTTAACAAATCTTTCATAATGAAAAAAGGCAGGCATTTTTATTATGAGTTGTGTTATATTATACTATATTGAAATTCTGAAGTATAAAATAAGCATAATGCCTCTACTATTGTTCAAGACTTATTCCAATAAGATTCTGACTTGCTGAAATCATATTTAAGATATTAAATACCACAGCCAGAAGGTATTTTATAATAAGCAGATTATAATTTCCTAAAGAGAGCAATTTCTGGATTCTCTGCTTGAAACAACTCAAATTCTATGTAACAAAGTTAAGTCAGTATAATTCTGACACTCCATTTTCTAGTATTCAAAATACTGATTCTTATTCTGCTCCTTCTCATTCAGAAGAAGCCACTGGACTTCTATGACTATGGAGTACATAGTCAAAAGCTGGAAAAAAAAGAAAGAATGAATGAAAGGTAGCTTAGTCTAATTTTGTCTGCATGCAGATTCCTGGCTACCTCCTTTCCAACTAGAAACAGCTATAAGGATACATTGCCTGGTTGAATGACCCAATGCTATACTGAGGGAGACATGAGACAGACTGTGGCCAGGGTTACCCAGATCTTCTATTTCCAAATACATCTCAAGGGACTAAGGTGGTAAGTAGAGGAAAATTCCTTTATTATAGAAGAGGCACTATGAAAGTCATTGTCTAAAAAAAATCTAGGGAAATGAAGCTTCTGTTACCTACTCGAAGATTCTTATTTAAAAAAAGCTTTGTTTTTATGTAAATAATGATGGAATATATATCACTGCTTTGTCCCTCCAGAGTGACACCTCCATAGTTGGTTACTCCATTTCTGTGATCTTATAGCCCTTATCTATGGGTTATCATAGCATCTTTCCATTGTTTTTAATGGTCTGCCTATTTCAGTCAGCTCTGGGAGAATGCAGAGTAAATATGGAATATATGGAATTTCTAATTGTGAATTAGAGCCCTCCAAATAATTAAAGATTGTTTAGCTTGACAATTGTATTTATTTCATAAAACCAACATTTACATTTTAAAAATACTATCTTATAAAAAAACAGAGTTTCGCCTTCCATTCAAAGAATCCTTGGCCTTATCCTCTCATATAATAGTTGCTGACAGGTCTCCAGAAATCATGAAAACTTTATACACAAACACACATACACAGTTACAAATACATAAGCTCATTATTGCCATTATTCGTCCAGCGGGCAGACAGCAAATGACTCTCTAATGGCCCATCATCCATTACAATTTGCAAAATAATAACTGTCAAGATTTCATTTATATTTTTACTAAGACTAAGAGAAGGGTTTGCAAAACAACTGGTATATATCACAAGAACTAAGACTACTAAGATCATTTGTGCAATGGAACAATGTTAGAACCATCAAAACAGAATCAAACAGAAATTTTGGTTGGGAGAGGAATATAGATCATTTTTTGTATGTTGGTAAATTTAGTTGAAATGATGCAAATTTGGCAGACTCCGAAGTAATCTTTGAAAACCTTTTAAACTGTAAATGGAAATATTTTCCCCCAACCAGCCCATTCACAGTACTTACAGCACTGAAGTTAGCAAAATTGCTTGGGTCAGCCTCTTTATTGGTAGTGGTAGCAGTGGTAGTAGTAGAAGTGAATGAATCACAAAACATATCAGGATCTTTTTCTTTAGGGCTATCATTGTCTGGGAAAGGCTGAAATGGATCATTCAGTTTAAAAGGATCAGAAGAATCCAATTTGTTGATGGGTCTTTTCCCTGGATCAAAATCATTACAATTAACTCAACATGCAAAAATGGCAAACAAACACAGAAGAACATCAACACAGAGAGCATTAAAGAACTGGGGGTGGGGGAAGGGAGGTGAGTGCCTAAAGCACATTTTTTAGTATGGTCTTTAATGACCACACCAAAGGTCAGTCCTCAACTCTTTAATACACAACCTCTCAAATACATTCCAGCTATATGTTGCTAAATGAAGAAACAGCAAAGGGGAAAGGAATGGGCCAGGAATCATTTCTGCCCAGAGAGTAAACCCTGTCTTCCCCAAAGCAGCATGTTCCCAAGAAGAGAGAGGAAAGGATGAAACAGGAAGAGACGACAAAAAATAAAGACAGAAATGGTCTTTGCTGTTATAACCTCAGCCTGATTGAGCAGGAGTAAGGGCAAATGACCTCTGAAAAATGACTATAACCCAGCAATTGCACTACTAGGTATTTATCCAAGGGATACCGGTGTGCTGTTTTGAAGGGATTCATGGACCCCAATGTTTATAGCAGCACTATCAACAATAGCCAAACTATGGAAAGAGCCCAGATGTCCATCAATGGATGAATGGATAAAGATGCAGTATATATACAATAGAGTATTACTTGGCAATCAAAAAGAATGAAATCTTGCCATTTGCAACTACGTGGATGGAATTGGAGGGTATTATGCTAAGCAAAATTAGTCAGAGGAAGACAAATATCATATGACTTCATTCATATGAGGAATTTAAGAGATAAAACAGATGATCATAAGGGAAGGGAAACAAAAATAATATAAAAACAGGGAGGGGGACAAAGCATAAGAGACTCATAAATACAGAGAACAAACAGAGGGTTACTGGAGGGGGTGTGGGAGGGAGGATGAGGGGCATTAAGGAATCTACTCCTGAAATCATTGTTGCACTATACACTAACTATTTTGGATGTAAATTAAAAAAATAAAAGTAAAAGTAAAAATAAAATAAAATAAAATAAAAGACTATATTCTTCTGATTTTTCTCTGGATCAATCTATCTAATACCTGGGAACATGATTAAAACTTACCTTGGAGTACCCCACCTCCTTTTTGCCACCTACGATATTTCAAATTGAAGAAGGAAGAGAATGTTTTGAAGCCCAGGGCCTAAACTTTTGTGGTTGCTGATAAACTAATTTTTGATCAAACCACAGTGTTTTGCTGTCGCTCAACTCATCACCATTTTCAAACAAGTTCTCTAATTTTAAAGTCTTAACTTAGTACTTCTTGAAGGAAAATGACACATACAGGTGTTAAATATTTTCAAATACGTATTTTTCCTAAAATTTGTTAAGCTGCTAATAGCAATCATAACAGAGTCTTTTCATCACTGTAGCAGCTTACAAAAGATGTTCATATCGATCCTTCTAACAATCCTGTGTAGGTAGGCGAAATTGGAGTTTTTGCCACCATCTAACAGCTCAGACAGCTGAGGCTCAGACATATGAAATTACACACTCAAGGGGCACCTAGGTGGCTCAGTCGGTTAAGCGTCCAACTTCGGTTCAGGTCATGATCTCGCGGTTTGTGAGTTCCAGCCCCGCGTTGGGCTCTGTGCTGACAGCTCAGAGCCTGGAACCTGCTTCAGATTCTGTGTCTCCCTCTCTCTGCCCCTCCCCCACTCACACTCTGTCTCTCTCTCCTTCAAAAATAAACATTTAAAAAAAATTTTTTTAAAGAAATTACACACTCAAGATCACAGAGCTAGTCTGAGGACACTCAGATTTAGCACCCAGATCTTTAAGCTCCCAGTCTCTTTAAGCTCTCTCCAACAAACCATCCTTTTTTCCTTGACACTTCTATAGTGATGTATACTCATTTTGCTGAAAATCCTTAGATTATATATTATTTTACTTAGGATTTAAAAAAATAATTTCTCTGTTGGCATCATACAGGTATAAAACTTAAATAAGGGGCGCCTGGGTGGCTCAGTTGGTTGAGCATCCGACTTTGGCTCAGGTCATGATCTCACAGTTTGTGAGCTCCAGCCCCACGTCAGGCTCTGTGCTGACCGCTCAGAGCCTGGAGCCTGCTTTGAATTCTGTGTGTCTCTCTCTCTGCTCCTCCCCTGCTCATACTCTGTCTCTCTCAAATAAATAAATGTTAAAAATTAAAAAAAACAAAAAACCAAAAAAACTTAAATAAGCTAATTGACTCATTTGTGTTTTTTTCTTAATTTTAAGTCCATTATAGTTAACATAAAGTATCATATTAGTTTCAGGTATACAGTGTAGTGATTCAACAATTCTAATATATTACTCAGTGCTCATCACTGTAACTCTTAATCTCCTGCACCTATTTCACACATCCCCCACCCACCTCCCCTCTGGTAATGATCTGTTTATTCTCTACAGTTAAGACTCTCTTTCTTGGTTTGTCTCTTTTTTTTTTTTTCCTTTATTCATCTGTTTTGTTTCTTAAATTCCACGAGTGAAATCATATGGTATTTGTCTTTCTCTGATTTATTTCACTTAGCATTATACTCTCTAGATCCATCCATGTTGTTGCAAATGGCAAGATTTCATTCTTTTTTATGGCTGAGTAATATCCCACTATATATATATACTGCATCTTCTTTATCCAATCATCAGTTGATGGATATCTGGGCTCTTCCATATCCTGGCTATTGTAAATGATGCTGCTATAAAGTAGGGGTGGATAAATCTTTTCAAATTAGTGTTTTCATATTCTTTGGGTAAATACCCAGTAGTGGAAATACTGGATCACATGGTATTTCTATATTTAATTTTTTGAGTAACGTCCATGCTATTTTTGACACTGGCCACACCAGCTTGCATTCCCACCAACAGTACACAAAGGTTCCTTTTTCTCCACAACCTCATCAACACTTGTGTTTCTAGTGTTTTTGATTCTAGTTATTCTGACAAGTGTGAGGTGACATCATGTAGTTTTGACTTGCACTTCCCTGACAAAGAGTGATGATGAGCATCTTGTCATATGTCTGTTGGCCATGTGAATGTCTTCTTTGGAGAAATGTCTGTCCATGTCTTCTGCCCATTTTTCAATGGGATTATTTGTTGACTTATTTGTTTTTTACTATACTCTTGACAATCTTACCTTCTAGAAATATATAATATAGGCTCTTTTTCCTTAAAAGATAGAAATCATTTACTTTGTTTACCTGATTTTTCAACAGACAATTGAGTATTAACAATTGTACATGCAATTTTTTAAGTCAAAAAAGAAAAAAATAATCTGCCCAAGAAATACCACAGGGAGGTTATTATGAAAGGCAAGCGTAAAAATCTGTAACTACTGTGGCTAAAAATTTGCCAAGGAGTGATACGTGATTAAAATAACCATGTACCAGATAGGTCTTCTCACATAACAGCCTAGCAGCACTATGTCTACTCAGGGATTGCCTTTTTAGCCACCTCTTGTGAACTATCTTCGTTAAAAACAAAACAAAACTAAAAACTAAAAACATTAAGAATTTATTCCTGGAACAAAAAAAATTACTTTTAGAAAATAAAGGAATCTCTTACTAAGTGAGGTAAGATAATACTTTGCTTCAAGAAAAATACATTCTTTTAAATTGCTATGTTGCTGAATTCTGGATACCAAAAGGCAATATATTGTCACATCAAAGGATTTAAGGAAGACTTTTGCATTGGGCAGGAAAAGAAGGGGACTTCAACTTAATCTTCTCTTACAGAAATTAATTTAATTAAAGCACTAAAGTGAGAAAACTGTTGGGTAAATGGTAATCAATGAGTTTCCAAAAAGCAAGCCATTTCACTGATGCTGTCCTTTCCATTTACTGTCACTCTAAAATGATTTAAAAAGAAATGAGCTCTTGCCAGAAAAGTGGTTCATGTTACCCATGCTAGCCTCTTAGGCACATGTCTGTAATTCTGTACGGAGGTCAGAACAGTTTCTGTCATCTTTTTTGAGTTGTTTTGTTTAAAGCCCTTTATCTAAGTCTATGAGACCCACACCAATATTTTTCAGGAGGAGAAAAAGCATCTCAGTTGACTTAAGAAAGATACCAACTCTCATACCAGGTGGTGGTGGGCAGGGTCTTGTTGGAGTTCCAGTCTTTGGTGGCAGTGCTGGGGGTACATCTTCACTTTTGACTGATGTTTCCTCAAGCACATTTTTTTTAATGACCACATTATTGACAGAGCTTGATGTGGCTGAACCAAAAGGATCTTCATTGTTGACCTTTGTTTGAAAAGAAATGTTATACGTGGTTATATAAATTATGCCAACCAAATTATATATGGTCATGTAACATTTAGAAGAATGATCTTCATTATTTTTTTTTTAATTTTTTTTTCAACGTTTTTTATTTATTTTTGGGACAGAGAGAGACAGAGCATGAACGGGGGAGGGGCAGAGAGAGAGGGAGACACAGAATCAGAAACAGGCTCCAGGCTCCCAGGCTCCGAGCCATCAGCCCAGAGCCTGACGCGGGGCTCGAACTCACGGACCGCGAGATTGTGACCTGGCTGAAGTCGGACGCTTAACCGACTGCGCCACCCAGGCGCCCCGAGAATGATCTTCATTATTATGCAGCTTTATTTATTTCAATTCAGAGAGCACTGACATGTTAACCTTTGCATTCAGGGCCAAAAGGGAAAAATTTTTAAAAAACTGTTTTATATGAGTAGTGATTATAACATCACTACTTATTAAAAGCAACATATCATACCAAAACAAGCCAACTCTGGATTAAAAGTTTTTCAAGCTTGGGGAACCTGGGTAGCTCAGTCGGTTAAGCGTTGGACTTCAGCTCAGGTCATGATCTCTTGGCTCATGAGTTCAAGACCCCACATTAGGCTCTGTGCTGATGGCTTGGAGCCTGGAGCCTGCTTCGGATCCTGTGTCTCCCTCTCTCTCTGCCCCTCCCCTGCTCACACTCTGTCTCTCTCTCTTAAAAATAAATAAACATTAAAAGAATTTTTTTAAGTTTTTCAAGCTTCAGGAAATACAATACCACCTGAGGTCCATTTTAAAGGGACTATATGTTTTTCCTCAAGTGAATATTTGATCCAAATGATAAAGAAAAAAAATACTGATTCCACACTTCCCAATGTACTTAAATATAAGAAAGATTTAATACTAACACCAAAGAAAATAGCATCTTGAAAAACATTTAAAACAACTTGAAAGTTAATTTTTAAAAGCAAACTGATCCCATGGAATGACAAGTCTTAACGTGCCTTTCTAATACCGGGAGTAATGAAAGATTCACTTTTCTATAATGAATCAAACATGATGGGTTTAGATCATATTTAGGCCAGTGTTTTTCTACAGTACTACTTAAAATGTGGGCTGTACGTAATTCTGTGTTGTGGGGCGACAGACACTGTGCTGTAGAATGTTTAACAGCACCCCTAGTCTCTATCCACTAGATATGAGTAGTCCCCCTCCCCAGTTTTGACAACCAATAATGTCTCTAGACAATGCCAAATAACTGAAGGCGGGCGGGGGGGGGGGGGCCATAACATCCAGCTGAGAACTGATGATATAGACAATTTTACATATACTCTAATTTTACTCTTTTGGTCTGAATCAATCCTAGAGCTACACTGGAAAATAGGTAGTGGACATACAGAGCTGGACTATGTGTATTAAATGTCTTAATACTAACCCTAACAGCCTCAGAACATAAAATGAAGTGACCAATGCAGAGAAGATAGAATGATGCCCAGATTTTACAGCTATTGACCCAGATAGTCAACAGGGGGGAAATGTAGTTCAACTGGAAGAAATATGTTTAATTTTCTTTAATGTTTATTTATTTTTGAGAGAGAGAGAGAGAGAGAGAGAGAGAGAGGAGCGTGAGCAGGGGAGGGTCAGAAAGAGAGAGGGAGACACAGAATCCAAAGTAGCCTCCAGGCTCTGAGCTGTCAGCACAGAGCCCGACACAGGGCTTGAACTCATGAACTCTGAGATCATGACCTGAACCAAAGTCAGGCGCTTAACTGACTGAGCCACCCAGGTGCCTCTTCAACTGGAAGACATATGTTTAAAAATGCAGAAGACTTGGGGTGCCTGGGTGGCTCAGTAGGTTAAACAGCCCTAATTTGGGCTCTGCATTGGCAATGTGGAGCCTGCTTGGGATCCTCTCTCTCTCTCTTTCTGCCCCACCAGCCTCCCTCTCTCTCAAAAATAAATACTTTTTTAAAAAAAGACAGAAAACTCTTAAAATGAAGCTGTTGAGCTAAACTGTCAGTAGAAAATTATAATCACCTGTACCATCACCACCATCTTTATGTATTGAACTATGTCTACTTTAATTATATCTTACCATTTTTTTTTTCAAAAAATTTTTCATGTTTATTTTTAACAGTCAGAGAGAGCATGAGTGGGGTAGGGGCAGAGAGAGACAGAGACACAGAATCTAGGGGCGCCTGGGTGGCTCAGTTGGTTGAGCCGCCGACTTTGGCTCAGGTCATGATCTCGCGGTCCGTGGGTTCGAGCCCCGCGTCAGGCTCTGTGCTGACAGCTCAGAGCCTGGAGCCTGTTTCAGATTCTGTGTCTCCCTCTCTCTGACCCTCCCCCGTTCATGCTCTGGCTCTCTCTGTCTCAAAAATAAATAAATGTTAAAAAAAAATTTAAAAAAGAATCTGAAGCAGGCTTCAGGCTCTGAGCTGTCAGCACAGAGCCTGATGCAGGGCTCGAACCCATGAATCATGACATCATGACCTGAGCCAAAGTCAGATGCTCAACCAACTGAGCCACCCAGGCGCCCCATCTTATCTATCATTTCTATCTGAAAACAACATTTACAGTGACTTGCTGAAATCAAGTTGCAATGTCTGTGAGGGCTACATAACTGAAAGTTTCCACTGGTAGAAACACAGTATATTTTACTTTCCCACTTAATCATTGCAGATTACCTTTGATAATGTGCTGAAGTCAGCAAATCCATCTTCAAATGATTCATTTCCAAAAACAGAAGCAAAGGGATCTGTGGCTAAAATGAAAGAAAATCAATCCAATAGGACAGAAATACATCAGAATTTCATGCCCTCTTTTGGTTGGTACAAACATTCAGACAGATGAAAAATACCTAATCCTAAATATCAGTTCCTGAATTTGTGACTTAAGTCCACAAAGATAGTGAACAAATTGATACCTCACCCCTGACACACATACATTACATTCTTTTGTATAAATCAAGCCATGAATGATTTCAGATCAAAAGCAAGAAAACTAATTCTAGGTTTAAGGCTTTGGAATATGTCAAATCATATAGTTCCCATGCACTTAAACTATTTCTAATAAAGCCATCAAGAAATTAGAAAAAGCCAGGTCCCATTAATTTCACATTTCACACTCATCCTTCATGGCACATTTTAAATGTTGCCTCATCCACAAAGCCTGGGATAACCTAGGTGTCTCTAATTCCCACAGCAAGAAGTGATTTCTTCCTTCTTTGTGGCAGTGACTGCATTCTAGTTTGTATTATGGTTATCTGTGATTGATATGTCACCATTATTAGATTGTAAAGTCCTTAAAAAAAGTGAATACGGCTTATCCAATGAAGAATGAATGGTCAAAAACATTTCTTGAATATCAAGTCCAAGAAAATACAGTTCTTACCCCCCAAAATCTTACAGTCTAACAAGGAGTCTAACAAGAACATGTTGTAGGCTTCTTCTAGGAGAAGAAGCCATTACATTTGAGATAGGTCTTTTAAACAAGGAATATATGGAGGTGGGAAAGAGAAAGACATTCCAGGCAGAAGGAACAGGAATTGCAAACATAATTGTTTAACCTGCTCCCAGGCACGAGAAGTTTTCTGTTCGATCACAGTGCACTGCTAAATGGATTAACATTTCAGCAGGAATAAACTGATCTACTCTGAACTATGTTTCATCTATTCAGGCATAATGACTACCAATAAAGTCAAAGAATGTTTATAGGAATTGTTACTTGATATAGGAAAACAGAAACAAAGGAAGGCAAAGAGAAGTGCAACAGACAGGGTAAGACAGAGCAAGGAAACAGGCACTGAAAAACTTCCCTTATTCTTCCTTAAATCTTCATCTTTACATCAAATTGGTTTTAAAACAAAAGTGTGTGATGAATCACTGGATTCTACACCTGAAACCACTATTGCACTGTATGTTAACTATAATTTAAACATAAAATTGAAAAGAAACAAAAAAATAAAAGTATGCCCACATAGCCATTTAAATGTGTAAAGTGTGCCTTTACCTCTAAAAATCAGTATACCATGGACATAAACTGAAGAGGGGCAGAAAGTCATATATTACTTTTGGTTGCTTTGTTACCAAGACAGTCATGAGGTGGAGGAAGCAGGTAAAGGGGGTGGGAAGAAGCATAAAGAAAATCAGTCCTTTAGAAATATAACAACAACTCTGATCTTGAAGAGGTAAAAAATCCAGAGTTACAGGAAATTCTACACGTTAGCCATAAAAGATATTTTTTTATAACTACACAGCCTGGGGACCAGCCTAGTCATGGCTGTTGTTTTAGGGTTTCCCTTCTTTTTCCTTCTCCGCCTGTTATTGCTGATACCACAGCAACTGAGGCACAACCAGGGTACAGATGTTCTCCTGACTGGTAGAATGGTAATGAGGGAGAAGGAGTTGGCTCATTTCCTTGGAGGGACTAGAAAACCTGCTTCATGCTTGTTTTCTGCCACAGCTCTTACAAGAAGTCATGACACACATGGCAACAGTGTTAAGTTAGGTCAAGTTTGACTGAAATACTGTGAATACTTTAACACTGTGAAAGACATTAATAAAACACATGACATCTGTGTATAAAGAATATGCTAAATATAGTTTACTGGAGTTTTTCTACACTTTCTTCATCAGAATAAACGACCTATTCAGCATTGGTCCAAACACTGGGGAATGTATCCTGGATGAATGACAAAGCACTTTTGCCCAAAGTGGGGGATTAAGACTTTGGCAAGAATTTTCTAAGATACTGATCATGGCTGATGTGAAGTAGAGGCCTGTCTAGAAACTGGAAGGACTCACTGAGTACGAACTTATCCAGACCATATAACAAGACACAGTCCCACAAACTGAAATCATGACCTGAGCTGAAATCAAGAGTCAGATGCTTAAACAACTGAGCCACCCAGGTGCCCTAAGGGAAACTAGTTTTTTTAAAAATGTTTATTTATTTATTAAATAATAAATTATTTATTAATAAATAATAAACAAAGAAGGAGCACACGTGTGGGGGAAGGGCAGTGAGAGAGTAAAAGAACTTGTAAAAAACTTGTAAAAGAACTTTTGCAAGCCAAAATAAAGTATATGTAGAAACTGAGTAAGCTGCATTTGCTTTAGTATTCTTTCAGTCTGCAATGTGTCTATTCACAAGGATAAATGATAAAAAGACCCCAGTGTGAGGCAAAATATTCAAAATATCTGATGTCCTTCTATCTCTATTGTAATCACTAAAGTAAAAAAAATATTTTTAATGTTTTATCTTTTGAGAGACAGAGAGAGACAGAGCGTGAGCTGGCAAGGGGCAGAGAGAGAGGGAGACACAGACTCCAAAGCAGACTCCAGGTTCTGAGATGTCAGCACAGAGCCCAAGGTGGGGCTTGAACCCATGAACACAAGATCATGATGTGAGCCAAACTCAGACGCTCAAGCTACTGAGCCACCCAGGTGCCCCAGCAATCACCAAATTTTAGAAGTAGGAGTAATTTATCATTTAATTTTTAAGAGCAAAAGTTTATCTTTAGGTTTATAATTATTTTGAAAGCTTACATTTTTCCTGTTCTATGGGATTAATCTTTTTTTCCTGGCTAACCTCTAAACTTCTTGGTGAAAAATAGCAAAGATAATAGGGGTGAGAATAAAGAAGGCAAACATTGTGACCTTGGGTGTATAATGCCACCTCTAAGAGTCTCAGTGGTTTCCAGATGTTAGGATTTTGTGAATAAGTAAACTAAGTAAATACATTAAAAACCAACATACATACATAAAGTCGGGGGAGGGGACAGATATCTGCTCAACAAAAATAACTAAAAGAGTACATTTTTCATTTCACAAACAAAAGGGTTTTAAAAACCAAAAAGAAGAGAAAACAATCTTGGGCTAAAAGATTCCTTTCCAGGAAAAGACAGCTGGCAACAATTCTTATTCTCTCTCTCTTTCTCTCTCTCTCTCTCTCTTGTCCCTATTTCACTTGGAACTATCAAAGAGTATATTACAAATAACATTAATCAGTAACATTAGCCAGGATTTGGAAATCATTAAACGAAAAAGTAGTAGTAGCAATAGCAGTAGCAGTAGCAGCAGTAGTAGTAGTAACGGTAGCTACCATTTACTGTGATAGGTACCACAATAAATACCTTAACATACATCATCTCATTTAATCTACCCAACAAACCCATTAAGTAGAACTATTAACCTCATTTTATTGTTTAGGAAATGGAGACTAAGAAAACCTAAAGAATTAGCAACTTTTTAAAATTTTATTTATTTATTCTGAGAGAGAGAGAGAGAGAGAATCCTAAGCAGGCTCTGCACTATCAGCACAGAGCCCGATGCAGGGCTCAAACCCATGAACTGTGAGATCATGACCTGAGCCGAAACCAACAGTTGGACACTTAACCAACTGAGCCACCCAGGCGCCTCAGCAATTTTATCTGAATAAGTCCAGGCAGTTGGACTCAGGCACTCAAGTCCTAATCATGACAACCCCTCTCTAAACTGTTTACACTTCCATTCAATTCAAAATCTTATGCCAGTGTAGCAGATTTGAGACAAATCATTTATTTATTGCTTCTGCAGTCAATTGATAAGACTCTGCTGTGTCCCAGAAGTTCTGGGATGGGAGTGTAGGGATACAACATAGGATGACTCCCAGGTCTCTGCTTGGGCAACTGAGTAGATGGTAATGCTATTAACAGAGATGTGATATCCAGAAGATATTTAGTACTGTTTTATATTTCATAGGGTGAACAACTTTACTTTCAGACATACACCTGTGACACATTAAGTAAAAGACCATTAAATATATATACATATAATAAAAATATAATATAGGTAATATAGTAAACATCATTTTAAAGAATATAAGTAATAAATAAATTTTAAAAAATTACATACACACGTATGTGTGGAGAACAGGGCTAGCAACTTAGGTTTGTGGTTAGTAACATGATCAAATGTTAAGAAAGATCTCTCTCTCAAGTTAAAAACATACAAGTGCCTGGGTGGCTCAGTTAGTTGAGCATCTGACTCTTGATTTTGGCTCAGGTCATGATCCCAGAGTCATGGGATTGAGCCTGTGTCAGGCTCCCCACTGAGCATGCAGCCTGCTTAAAATTCTCTCTCTCCCCAATACAAATAAAAACCATAATGAGATACTACCTCACACCTGTCAAATTGGCTAAAATTAACAACTCAGGCAACAACAGATGTTGGCGAGGATGCAGAGAAAGAGGAACCCTTTTGCACTGCTAGTGGAAATGCAAACTGGTGCTACCACTCTGGAAAACGGTATGGAGGTTCCTCAAAAAATTAAAAATAGAACTACAGCAATTGGACTACTAGGTATTTATCCAAAGGATACAGCAGTACTGTTTTGAAGGGCACATGCACCCCAATGTTTATAGCTGTGCTATTGACCATAGCCAACGTATGGAAGGAGCCCAAATGTCCATCAATTGATGAATGGATAAAGAAGATGCGGTACGTATGTGTATACACATGCACACACACGCAAACACACACACACACACACACACACACACACACACACACACACACAAACAATAGAGTACTACTTGGTAATCACAAAGAATGAAATCTTGCCATGTGTAACACTGAATGGAACTAGAGTGTATTGTGCTAAGCCAAATCAGTCAGAGAAAGACAAATATCAGATGACTTCACTCATATGTGGAATTTAAGATACAAAACAGGTGAACATAAGGGAATGGAAGCAAAAATAATATAAAAACAGGGAGGGGGA